GGGGGGTAATGGGGGGCGGGGGGTAATGAGGGATGAAATGAAATTAGAATAATTTTTTTTTGGGATTTCAAACGGAAAAATTCACCAGGTGATTGCCTTTTTTTGACAATTTTTTTTTTTTTTCGTCCTGCGCCATTATGTTGCACTTGATTTTTGTACGCCTGCGTGATGTTGATCCACGGGTTGTGGGCGAGGTGTAGGTTGAAAATTGATGGTTAGCAAATTGGTAGGCGTTGGTGAGATTTCCAAGGGGATTTTACTGCCGGGGGTAATGGATTAACCGTGTGGGCCCTCACATGCATTTCCCTTTTTGTCACAAGAACTTTCATAAAAAAAAATTCCCTCCAAAAAAAAAATCTGCAATCATCCGCATCTCCCAAAAAATATCCGACAAGCGGAGAATTTCTCCTATCTCCATATTATTATTTATCTTATATTATCCTCCCCTTTTCCCAACAACCCCCATTTTTATTTAATTAAATTGAATTATTCGGTGGAATAATAAATTTATTAATTAAACTCGCGTAATTATTTGTCTGAATTTTCATCGACCGGCGAAAATTTTTATTATTACAGAAATGACTCCATTATTCATCCCCATTTTTTATTTTTACTCCATTACATCTTTACATCATAACTCGTGGCCTCCATGACCTTTGAATTTCGGAATCCATCACCCCCGACGAAAAAAAAAAATTTGGCGACTGATGGAACTTTGGCTCGTGCTACGCCTCGTCGCCTCTCCTTTACGCGCAATCTAAAACAGATCCCAGTGGGTTCAGGCTTTTTTTATTCCCCAGGATAATTTTATCTCTTCACTATTATTAAATATACTAAGTCTAATGAACTCCTTCGTATCCGGTGGAATAATAGCATTCATAAACAATATGGGGGTTAATTAAAGAAAGGAAAATATAAAAATATCAAATGCTGAAATAAATACTGAACCGAATTATCCTGGACTTTATTAACGGATGACCTCTCGTCATTACTCTCCGGGATTTATCCTAATTATCGTGAATTAATTACAGAAATAATAAATTAAGAACGACAATAATTATTTAAACAACTTCCAATTGAATCTTATTTTTCCAATTTTTTCAATTAAATCTTTATTTTTTGGATTTTATAAAAGAAATTAAAAAAATAATTTTATAATTATTAATTGATAAATTAATCGATGATTAAGACGAGTCAATTCCGTGTGTGAATATAATGAAATGGCATCGGGACTCGAAAATATATTCTACCCTCGATCAATCGATAAATTCGATTGTCGTGATCACGCAGCCCTCGATGGTATGTTAATCACGGAGGCAATTGATTAGCCGACAAAGTCCTCACCGCCAACAAATTAGAAGAATACTATCATCATCACTCGATTCTCTCTCTTTTTTATTTCCACACGCGTACAGGATCCTATCTGCAAGGGAGAAGAGAGAAGCATCAGAGCAAAACGGAGTTTTTAGTCGACACTCTGCATCTCCAATGATATTTTTTTTCCCTTTGATCATTGCCGAACTAGTCCTCATGTACGACAAGAAATCCATTAGCCGCTCCAGTGCTACTGGAAATATTTCACTTCCGGTATCAAAAATTTAATGAGAAAAATAATAACTTTCGCCAATTGAATTTTTTCCCTCCCAAAAAAAATTCACACTTAACGCAATTTATCAGTTCAATTTGATTAAAAAATTGTTCTTTATTTATTGATAATTATTTTATAATTATAGTAATTTTTTTTTTATTCGCAATGTTTAGAGGTATAAACCTCCAGATATTGTCCGTGAAATAAATAAATAATTTCCGAGTTATATGGATCCGACATGAAAGCAATCTTTCGATAAAAAAAAAGCTCCGAAGTTTCCACGATATGCATTTTTCATAGATATTATTTATTTATTCCCTCTTTACCCCAACAACACGAGTACTCGCATAAATATTCGGCGGATGGAGCGACGCCTGAGAATTTACTCCATCCAATAGTAAAATACGACTGCACATACGATTTGAATGTGGAATAATCGATGCAATTGTTCAAATCCCCGGGTGGAATTGAGAGACAAAATGCGAATAACACGCGAAAATATAAAAAAATGGCGTTCCACCCTCTGAGGGTTAACAGAATTCCGTATTTTATGGAGAGATAGATGGTTTCGTGTGAATATAAGTCATGGACTATCGGGTTTATGTGGGATTTTTATGTGTGACCAGTCGAGTGAATAAGTCGACACTTTTGACAGGATTATTTGTACGATTTTCCGATGCTATCTGACATTCCCGTCAACCCCTTTGTTCGTGTTCATTCGTAAATTGACAAGTCGGCTTTTGCGGATGTTTAAGGAAGGAATTAACAATAGCTGAACTAATCGATTGCGTAATAAATTATTTCTATTAATAATAATCAAAATATTCAACAATTTATCCCAATTAATTTTCACCTAAAAAAATCGGAATAACCTCGAAAAAAAAATTGTAATGGCAATATTTTTTTTTTATTTTCAAAACATTTCTGGGAAACTTTTCGAAAAATTTTTCTTTTGAAAAAAAAAATCGGGAAACAAACAATTGAATTTTCGAGAAATGTTTTGAAAAATTTTTCAAAAATATCTTTCAGAAAATTTTTTTTATAATTCAAAATTTCAGAACCATTTTCAGAAAAAAAATTCTGAAAAGTTTTCCCGAAATTTTTTGAAAACTTGAAAAAATTATTTCCATTCCATTTTTTTTTACCTATGACACAAATGAATAATAACAATAATAATTCCATTAATTAAAATAAGCCTCCCCCCCAATTTTTCCACCGCAATCCATTCCAAAAAAATAATGCCACTTGAAAAGTAAATTTCGAGATGTTTAATAATCTCCTTGTTTCCCACTTCGTCAAGTTCTTCCGTCTACAGAAAATAAATACCCTGAGTATATACGGCGCCATTGTTCAGTGTCTCCTTAATTCGCGTTAAGTCCGCGTAGTTGTAAACAACGTTACGATAGAATAACTTCGTTAACATAATCGCGTCACGGAGTGGTCTCACTCCATCCCTCTCTTTTCCCACTTCAAACCCCATTTTCATCCCCCCCCCCTTTCTCCCCTTCCACCCTTCCGTCATCGTTGCTGTTTTGATTTTACGGGTGGTTTCACCCCTCGGATTTTCACCCCATAGTGCTTATATACTATGTATCGCTTTACGTCTCGTGTGTATTCACGAGACTTGGGGGCGGTTTTTGACGTGTCCCTTTACTGCCACGAGTGCTTAAAATTTATTCATCGCTGCTATTTCCCCAGCGAATCACAAGTTTTTATCATGAATTTATTGACTTTTTCCTCATTCCATTATCTTATCGTTATAAATGGTATTTTATCTTAATTATTCTCTTAATTGAGATTTTTTATTCACAGCATTCTTCTCAAATTGTTTTAATAATGATATTAATGATGATGAAACAATTAATTTTAATCAGTCATGAATTTTTGGTGATTATTTGTACATTCGTTCGAGTCTCAATTCAATAATTATTTCCATTTCGTTGGTCCAATTGAAATGTCACACCCTTCACTGAAAATTCGCAACGCTTGTCAGAATTGAGAATCATATTCGTACATGTACGATTGGACGTTTTCATATATGTATCTTATATACTTCTCACTCCATCACTCTCCCATAAAAAACAGTTTGGGGTGTAAAAATATCGGAGGGTGTGTGTCCATCAGCCATTCGTCACACTAATTACTCATGATAATTTCGTAATACTCGGGAACGAAAATGATTTGATGCAGACGTCATTATCCAATGATATTTATTGAAAAAGCAATTGACTTCACCGATGACAATTATCCAATTTTAATTACGAAAAAATGAGCCAATGAAATGTCAGGATCAATCACTCGAGTGTAATTGAGCGTCTGGACGATGAATTATCAATTTTTAACACAAATCCGAGTCCTGACAGATCGAGTAGAAATTCATTAATTATATATTCACCTGGGAAAAACCATAGAAATAATTAATTACCACCAATTGAGTAAAAAATTCCTTGAAAGACGTAAGATCATAACTGAATGATAAATAATATCAAACCGTTAAAAATAATAAAAATTCACGAAACGATTTACCGAAAGGAAATGTAAAAACGAATAATTAAGGGATTAATGTAATTAAATGAGCCTAGAATATTTTTATATCCTAGTTTCTCGTGTCGATAGTGAAATTGTCGTGCCATTAGGGTTTTCCCCTTGGCTGGGTGTTGCTCATTTTTTTTCATCACCACCCCCTTTTCATTTCAGTTTGCTTTCAATTCACCCTCCATTTACGCTCTGCCAACTCACCCCCAGCCACAGCATCAGAAGAAATAATCTCTCGTTTCCACTGGGCCCACATCAGACGTCAAAATATGACAGTTCTCCCCGGGTCACCACTTTACGATACAAGACACATCCTGTAACGTCAATGCCCTTAACTTTTCAAAATAGCGCTCGAACTTCTCGTTTATCAAAATTAAATTCAATATATAAAATTAATTTTCTGACACCTGAAACATTAAATAATCCATAATTTTTAAGATTAAACAGCATAAAATAATGCAGCTGCAATGTAATTAGGTTTTATTTATTTTATCAATTATTTGAAATAATTGAATTCACCGAAAGGAAAAATTAATATCAATTTAATGTCTGACGTGAGTAATGAAGTTCACATTGTGAACAGTTGTGAATGCATTGAACCTACAGCAAAGTGGATTGAAAGGAACAGCTGCATTGCCGACTGAAGTTCATTCAACGGTTCTCTGAAATTGATAAAAAATATTGAAGAACGATAAAAAAATATATTTCTTCTCTCATAGGTATTAAAATCATTTTATTATCTCTCATACACATAAATTATTCGATTTATATTTTAGAAATCGTTACAGTATTCACCCTAGGACAGGGGCTCCGCTTTGAGTGGTTTGATATTTGGCTTCCGCAGATGATGATAATTTGGTAAAACCCGTATTAAAAATTCCAACTGACCCACTTGAGGCTGAAACGATCAACGATTAATTATTTTCAGTGCGGGGGAATTACCGAATTACTCAACCAGGACAAGTGATTTTTTTTCGAGTCCAGTTTTTGGCTAATATCTGAGAATGAGAGGAACCTAGCGAAATTTTGGTATGAATATTTTTTGTAGAAAAAAAGGAGAGCTAGAAAAACGGTTTCTATGAAAATATCATTATGTCCGTTCAATTTCGAAAAATCGGGTAGAAACTGGGCTAGAAAAAAATCCAATTATTCTAGTCAATTACTGTTTGAATTGTTTTAATTCTCACGTAAGGTTTATCATTCATCTCTCGACGTTGACATTTAGTCCCATACACAATGGTGTTCTCGGGGACGATCTCCGGGTCTAGAATCGAGCAAAAAGGGCCCACCACACAGCCATTTGTCAATTCAACTCCTCGGGCGACTGTAGCTGGTAAAAAAAAATGCATTTAAATGAAATCCAATGATAAAAATATTATTTTCATCTACCTTTAGTCTCCAGAACATTGTTATCTCCAACTCTCTCAGCTTCACACGTAGAATCTGTTTCAAAGACATTGAAATTTCCGATCGTTTGGACTCTCACGGTATCGGGATTTCCTCCAGGTGGTACCCTGCGTAGAAATCGTGATCCTTCAGGATTTTCGTTCGTAGATAATTGAATAAAATGGAAAATCACCTGTTTATTATCGAAGCCATTTCCTCGATGATATTTCCTTCACCAATGGAAATCGGTCCAGCTTCTGCTATAATACTGGCTCGAGGATGGATCACTGTCTTGGGACCAATGGTGATATCCCCTTTCAGAATACTCTCATCACAAACAACTGCTCCTACAGCTATTTTCACACTAACAATAAACAATAATTTGTGTAAATGTATATATAAATATTTTAATGATAAATGGGAAATTTTTTGTATTGGTTAGAATGAATTAAAAAAAATTCTGGAAATATCTTAGTGAAATGTCTTGAAAAAAAGTTTATAAAAATTGTCGTGGGGTAATTATTATCATTCTTACTTGGAACGACGTGCGAGTGGAGTGTTTGACATGATTTCAGACATTTATTGTTGACTATCAAATTTTCTTGGAGAAATCTGACAGCTGACAGCTACGACAGCGACACAATCTCAGTAAACATAACCTCAAGCAATTATTTACTAGAAAATTTATATGGATTATTGTTCAGACATTGCGAAGTGATTGAAAAGTGATTATTCTGATCGAGTGGAGGGTATCTTATAATAATAATTCCTCATAATGAATATTCTACCGAAAAAAAGGTATGAAATTTTGGAAATCGATGGAGATTTCATTTTTAATTCTCATGATTAGATATTGTTTACGATTTATTTTGAATTGATTAGGTGGCATGTGAGGACCAAGGAAAATATTGCTAGAGTTCGTCGAGATGAGGCTCAAGCTGCAGAAGAGGAGAAAGAACGTAAAGCAAGAGCTCAAAAAGCCGTAAGGATGAAAAATGAAACCCAAAAAATTGATTCATGAGCAATAAAAATTCAGTTTATAGATTTTCCAGCTTCCATGTCAAAAACTGTTTGAATCTTCTCTTCCAGGAAACTGAAGCCCGAATAAATTTACTCCGTGAACAATCCCGAAGAAAATACGATGGCCGGGATAAAACAGTGGAAATTGCATCGAAACCAGAAGTCCTTGAGCACGTGAATTTTTTCAAAGACATTGAGGATGGAAAAATCGATTACAACAAACCGAATGCAGAGCACGAGGCCGAGAAAAAAGAAGAGAAGGAGAAATATGAAAAGCAGATTGGATATTTGACGTATCTAGGACAGGACACGAACGAGGCAACAGGAAAAAAAAATTGGTACGACGAATTGCCTCTCAGGGTGACTGATGCTGAGCCCTCGAAAGAAATTCAGGAGAAAAAAAAATTGTTGCACGATCCTCTGGTAGATGTGAGAAGATATCTGAGCATCATGGGCTCCTCCAGCTCTGGAGACACCAGAGTCAAGTCAGAAACCTCCAGAAAACGTGAACTGACGTCTGACGACGAGATATCGTCGAAAAAGCACAAGAAGCATAAGAAAAAATCGAAGAAATGTAAATACGACAAGAGAGAGAAGAAACCGGATGTCGATATCGAGAGGTTGAGGGCCAAGAGATTGCTGAGAGAGCAATCAGAGAAATTTAAAACTGAAGCCCTCTTGGCCAAGATGAGGGGCGATCCTCTGCCTATCGTAAAAAAAGAGGTGTCCACACCGGTTATCAAACAAAAATATAATTCACAGTTTTGCCCGGAAATTGCTAGGCAAAATGCCGAGAGGACTCCTAGGCATTAGTCCTCGTCGTCTTGGACATTGTAGATAATGTATATTTTGTTTTATCGATAAAAAATTATTCCCACGCCCTCAGGAATTTTTTAGGATCCCTTGAAGATCGTCCACAAAAATCTCGATTGTTCTCGATTATTCGGAAACATTCAGAAAAATAACAGAAAGCGTTGGATTATTATTTGTTCGAATTCTGAATCGTTTTGTATGAATAAAAATGAAATTCAGACTGATGTATGATTTTTTTTAATTGATAGAAGTAGAATGTTTTGCATGACAAATGGCAATTATGAAATATTCATGAATTTCAATAATTCTGGGAGTTGCATTTTGCATTTCCCTGTTGCACACGTGATGCAAAATGGCCACCGCGTTGAGTTGAAGGATTTTCCCTGGAATTTTAATTATTCATTTATTAATTTTTCCTGAATATTCTGATGCATTCATCCACTCAGGTAAGCCCCAAATATTTAAGAAAATTTATTTAAAGAATTAAATCCACTATTCCGCTAGTATTTCCTCCATAAAAATGGAGTTTAATATTAAAGTAACCTCGAAGCAGACGCCTAGGCTTGCGGCGGGTGCTAAAACCGAATTTTCAAATTTAAATATAGGACAGGATGTCCAATTAATTATTTCATCCCAACGAACCCAGAGTCGATTGCATAATCCCACTCGAAATATTTTCTGAGATAATAATCCACTTGTTATTGTTGATATTTGTGAGATAACCTCTTCATTGAAGTAGGGAAACCAATCAATGAAGGTTAAATTGAAACTCAAAAAAAAAAAAAATTAACGAGCCCATTGAGCGGATATCTCTGGATCAAAGAGAAATAGCGAAATTAGTATCATGACCTTTTTTGTAGGTCTCATTCTGCTCTATAAAAAAGGTCATGAGAATAATTTCATTATCTTCTTTAGATTTAGAAATATTCTTGGAAGACTTCCAACGAGTGGTTAATTCCAGATTGTGAGGATTTTCTCATCGAAAAAATCCCAATTGTATTCGAATCATGAACGAGCCAGTATCCTCCGAGGACTCGTACCTCACCTGTGAGATCAACGGATCGCACTACATCCTGCAGCCGGTTTCAAATTCCCCTGAAGCATTTATAAATATGGAGAACCTAGACGAGGGCTCGATGACCTTTCCCTCAAGTCCTGATGCAGAACCTCCTGCAGAATCTGAGGGACAGAATGAAGATGAGGAACAAACAGTACCCCTGGTGTACCTTGGGGGTCAGATATACGCAGTGCAGGATGGTCAACTCCAGGAGCTCGACATCGCTCCTCTCCCTTCGGAAGTTCTTGACCTGGAGCTCACCTTGAACTCCCAAAAATCCTCAGTCATTCCCAACGTGAGAAGAAATCCTCAGGAATATCTTCTCGAGCCCTCACCTACCCCAGAGGATTCCCCCCAGGAGATATCCAAACTAGAACCCGATCCGGACTCCGAGTTCCACGATGAATTGGTTCTCGAGGATTCTGAAGACGATATTCACGATCTGCAGGACAAAGAGCTGAACGCCAATGATTTTATCGAGGTCGTTACAGCGTTCAAGTGCAAAATCTGCCCCTACACCACTCAAGATCGCTCCGAGCTCCTGAAGCACTTCAAAAAAACTCACACAAATTCCTCAACGCCCTCGCCCCTCGACCCTATGAAGATCGACGATGTGAAGCTGCTGTACATGTGTGGAGAGTGCTCCAACTGTTTTCCCTCGATGGAGACCTGTCGGGAGCACATGATCAAGGATCACCAGCTGACAGACAATCCCTCAGACTCTCCAACCCTCCAGCCTCTGGCTTCAGACCTCGTGGAGGCTGAGACTAAGTCAAATTCCAAGGCTAAAACCCCGAAGCTGATTGAGAACAGGGAGAAAAATGTACGCTGTAAATATCGTGGCTGCGTTCAAAAATTCAGCTCCAAGGAGATAATGCAGGCACACGCCAGCTGCCACGTGGACTCAGGGACAGTGAATTCGTACAGGTGCAGCATCTGTCAGGATGCCAAATTCGTCAAGTGGAGGGATTGTCTCATCCACCTGTGGAAGAAGCATCAGGTGGACATTGATCTTTTATCCTGTCCCATCTGCAAGACATACAAGACTGCGGCAATGATGAAGCTGTCCTCCCACATGAGGGTCCACAGTGATGACCGAGATTTCGAGTGCTCGCACTGTGGGAAACGCTTCAAGCAGTCCAGTCAACTCCGAAATCACCGAATTCATCATCTCGACAGAAAATCCATGGAGATCCCCAGATGGTACACCTCCAAGACCTGTGAAATGTGTGGAAAGACTTACGCCGATGCCAAGTGCCTCAGAAATCACATGCAGGCGGTGCATTCCAAACTCAGACCTTACGTCTGCAATATCTGTGGGCACTCCAGCTCCAGGAAGGCAAATTTACAGATGCATCTGAGGCAGCACACGGGGGATAAACCCTTCAATTGTGATCTCTGTGACTTCAAGACTGGGGATCACAACTCCCTGAGGAGACATATCATGAGGCACACGGGGGTGAGACCCTACAAGTGTCCTCATTGCTCGTACTCAGCGATACAGAGTAATAGTTATAAGAATCATCTCAAGGCCAAGCATCCAGAGTCCGCTGGCATTTTTAAGTGTGATTTGTGCTCCTTCCGGACGGTCAAGAGAGAGAGCTATCTGGAGCACTTGGGGGGACACGAGAAGGGACTCATTAAAGCAACTGTCAAAAAGGAAAATAAAGATAAAGGTAATTTTCAGTGGTATTTCCAAAATTTTACTGTTTTTATCAATTAATGAGTCGATTTTTCAATTTATCCAGATACAAATGGCGTTGAAGTTTTTCCTGGAAATATAGCAGCTGCTCAATTAATCTACAGCTGTCTCGGGGCATTCTCAAAGGATGGGAACACCATCGAGGCTAATTTGATGTCTTCCTCAACGTCAGCTGATGGCACATCACAGACCATCACCATTCAGATACCCTCCAAGCATCTGGAAGGCTCTTTGCCAATATCAGACAGCACCATCAGGCACTCGACGACGATCGACCAGGAAGATGACGAGACAATGCACTGTTTCCTTAAAATTCCACGTGAGGAAGAGGAAAATATCGACACCGGTGGCATCACTATACCTGCTGAACTCGATGACACCGATCCCCACATTTTAAACGTCGAATCTTAATCTGAACTTTTTTTAAGTCGACCCTAGTCACGATTTTTTTATTCCTCCTGTTGGTGGAAATAATTGAGGGGAATTCTCAATTGCGATGATTTTCGCAATTTGTACAGTTTTTCATTTTTTCATTGAGCTTCCCGTACTTTACTTTAATCGAGAACGAAGAGGAACGGTGAAATATAATTTTGAGAAAGATGTGTTCCGGGAAAAATATTATAAAACAATTTTCCCAAGTGTTTCGGGAGTTCAAATCCCGGGAATAATCTGTTCTTCAGGACTAAAGAATCGTGAGTAATTCACCATTTGATTTTACTTTTTCCAAAGAAATATTAGAAACGAGATAAAATCATGGATACTTACAATTTTTTACGATAGATTTAATTTGTTATCAGTCACGTCAGTTTTTTAAGAAAAAAAAACTGTTAATATTCTTTGTAAAAAATATTTAGTCAGAAAATATTTGAAACTGGCGCTAAAGCGACTGGGACGTTGATGAAATTTCCATTTTCAAATGCATTTGCAAATGTTTCATGAGAGTGATAATTGATGAGCGAGAGCTTCACACGTTTTTTTCTGATTACATTTATTTATAATTGTATAATAAAACGACACGCGTTTTACGATAAAAACTTAAAAATTCACAGTTGTAATATCTTCGAACGATTGGAAAATGAATGTCTTTCAAATCAATTTTATACAAGATCTCAAAGGTCAATTAACGTTTAGTTCTATTGAAAAAACATGAATGTTTAATAATTTCGTTGAGACATTGGAAGAACTCACGTTACGATTTAACACACAGATGCATCCGTATCGATTCGCCAACGGTCATTCAATTAAAACAGAAAATTAGGAAGTAGAGGCATTTGTACTGCTGAAAAATTAAATTATTAGAGAATACTGTGTATAAAATCAGAGGAACGATGACAAACGATTCTTTCTCCTCGGTTTGCCAATTTTTCCAAATCATGAAGCAAATTGATACGGCTTTCCCTCGTTATGTACAACTAATTATACATCGATACTAGACACTCGTCTGACATTTCGTGGTATTAACAGTCCTTTGGAAGTTCACCGTAGTACGCTGTCAGAGCTACCAGCTTTCGATCGAGGAAATTCTGTTCGATTTCCACCCCTTGTCCAGGTCCAGCCAACATAGCAAGCTGTAAAAAATTCAAATGATTTTCAATTAACAAAATATTCCCCTAATCACAGTCTCATAATTTTAAATACAGTAATTATTGAATTGCCTGAATAGTGTCAATATTCCTCGGCAAAAAGTAGGCGACATGCTCTGATATTTTTCTCGCAGTATTGAACACTTTCATTCCACCGGAAGGTTTAAAAACACTGTTGAGATCATAAGTTTCATGGTGCAAGTAGTCTGGACCACCCCAGGGTGGACTCAGGAACACAACATCGGCAATAAGTTTATCAGCGAGATGGAAGAAATCACCGACGATGAAGTCTATTCTATCCTCAACCCCATAGACTCTCGCATTATTTTTGGCGAGTTCGATTTTACTTGGATCGATGTCAATAGCAATTACTGAAAAATAATAAATTACATGAATCCATAAGTTCCTTTCCATTCATCTTCCAAATTTCTACCTCTTTCGCATTTAAATGCAAACTGAATAGCATTTCCTCCAGCACCACAAAAGGCATCAATGATAGTGTCACACTGGCACCGATCAGCAATATGAGCAGCAATTTTTTCAGGAGTCACTGAGAACCAGCTCTCTGAATTCAGAAAAAAAAGGTAATTAATCCCCTAATCATTTCTCTATTTTAATTTAATGCCGTCGACTCACCTCGATCAAGCTTGATGCCCTGATCAAACTTACTGAACAACCTATACCGTTTAACCCAATATTTCATCAATGTCCTGTCATCATCCACCTCAACAGGAAGACTGACGTTTCTCTTATTCTGCTTCCTCCTCCGTTTTTTCAACGCCTTCTTCCCACCATCCTCATCTGATATTTTGATGGTAATTACATCCTCCTCGTGCTGATCCATCTCCATCTGAGAGCCGAGCCCCTTATGGTCATCAACAGCATCCTCGAATACGTCATCATCACAAGCTTTGTACGAAGCACTGAAATCAGGCGGTGTCTCCAGAGAACTTGTACTGGGTTTACTGAAGACAAGTCTCTTAGCATGTAGCTTTGAGCTCACAGCTTCATCGCAATCGTCATCAGAGCTAGATGTGAAATGTGCCTTGGTATAGCTACCCTTATCATTAGCCTCAAGTTCTCCCTCAATTGGAAGCTTAATTGGACAATCAGAGAGATATTGCTTGACCTTATCAATGGTACTGGTTATCTCCACTCCATTTTCATCGAAATAAATGTGCCTGTTGCTCTTATTCCGATTGATCTTCATCTTCAGTTGTCTGTTTGGCAGTCTAATGTGTCGCTTTCTGTAAACAACTTCGCCCTGCAGCTTGACCTCCTTCTGATGCTCCTTGAATGTGTATCCCATCAAGGAGAAGGCCTTCTTAACAGTCTCCATGCCCTCCTGAGCCTCATCGAAATCAGCCTCATGACTTCGTTTCAAGGTCACTGGCCTCTCCTCCTGAGGCCTGTCCCCATCGCTGGACCCACCGTTGCTGGATCTCATAGAATTAATTGTGGAATTATGATTGGAGTACGTGGATGGTGTCGAGTCCTGAACGTGACCAACACCTCCCTGAGTGCCTTGAGTCGATGATCCTTTTGATGTTTCTTTGTGCTCAGTCTCATTCTCCTCTGACTTCACCGTCAGATTCTGCATCAGGTAACCGACCGAGTCGATGACCTTGCGTTTGGAATTCAATCTCCTCTTGGCCGATTTCTTCAGCCCCACTTTTCCATCTACCAGAGGCTCAGGGTCCTCGAAGGAGTCGTTGGCAAATGGTATCCTCGAGGAAACTGAATTTAAACTTTCAGTCTGCATCATCATGTATCTATTGGCAAAATTGGTGTAGTGCTTCTGGTATTGGATTTGAAAGTTCTCCTTCCAGAGTAACTGCCAATACCTGTCGTTGTCAGACGTCAAATCGTTGTCCTGATCAGAGCTGCTACTTGTGACATTGCTCTCGATGGAGCTGGTGACCGAGCTGAAAAGACTCAACGACTGCTGCGAGCTGGAGTCAAAGCTCGAGTTCGTCAACGTCAATTTGGTGACATTCGTCATCGAATCCGAAGTAGCATTTGTCTTGGCGAGCGACCCCGTTATCGAATCACACCTCGATATGGCTATCAGTCTTTCATCCTCATTGGAGTGCTGATTGTAGCTCTCCTCAGCGCTGAAAGGACTCAGGGGATTCCATCCATCGATCTCAGGTGACAGCTCAAAGTTCCCCATCTTCTTTCTATTGTCCTCAGCTTCTTTGTCGTTAATCTGCCTCGAGCTGCCGTCGAATGTAAAGCTCAGCTGGTCCTTAGCCTTGTCAGACCTGCTGAAGAGGCCCTCGAAGTTCGATCGCCCGATGTCGCAGTCCTTGTGCGCACAGGTTGGAAAACACGTGTTCTGCTCCGAAAACTTCTCGACAACTCTGATCTTCGTTGGTTTTTCAATCTCAACGAGATCTTCAGTTGCCATGTAACTGGGATTGATGTAGTCCGCGTACTTTGTTATCCATGAGCTCCAGATTAGGCGTTCACCATGATCTGCCCAGAATTTCTCCCAGGCGATGTCGATCATACTCTTCTTGTCGCTCCCGTAGACGACGTGAACGTTCAAATAGGAGTCATACATTTCGTTTATGACAAAGTCCTCTGGCTCGGTTGGTGAATCGCTTTGATCGTGAGTGCCGAGGGTGAAGGAGGCGTGCTCTGGGGTGTCCGAGGAATTTGGAGCTTGAGATTTAACTTGGATATCTTCCTGGAAGCCCGGAGTGTCGGACTCTGAGGGATTCTCACGATATTTATTGAAGCTATCGAGGGTTGTGAAGCTCCGCGAGTTCTTCAGCTTGGCATCTGGTGTTCTTAGGAGGCGCTCGGACAGGTAGAGGGAATTGCTCGTGGGTTTTGCGTCGTGTTCGTGGTATTCGGAGAGATCAGCACCCGAGTCGGACTGGTGAAGACTCAGCTTCTGACCCAGGGCGTACGCGGTGGACCTCTGGACTGAGTCCCGGACTGAATCGTGCTCGTCGGTTGAGTAGTTATTGTCTGTGTGGGATGCACTGCAGTAACAACTCACTGGCTCTTCCTGGAGATTATTATAGGGGATGAATGGGGGTCGCTAGGGAGACGAGACCCGGAGGATACTTACGTCGTGCTTTTCCGCGTATTGGGGGGGTTCTAGCGGGGTTTGTTTCAGAACGTCCAACATCTCCCCGAGGTAATCCGCCTCCGGGTTCTCAGGTTCGCTAGCATCTTCTTGAGTCAGGACTGTGTAGATCTCTGGATTGCTTCAGAGTCGAGACGAAACTTCATCAGTTTTTATTTCAGAGGACGGGAAATTTGAGGGATCGGCCTGACAGCGATACACGGGAGGTCAATGCTCGTGAGGATGACGTATCAGTCGAGAAATCGCAAAATGGCCTCCGTTTTGTGTCTTAACTTAAAAAAAATTGCGATAGCTCAATGAAAACTGACCAATCGTTGAATGGACTCGAACCGGTTTATGAGTTGGTACTCAAATTGAACGGATAATTTTGAATCGCCGAATTTAATGAGGGCTAGAGTACTCTCGGGACATTGTTACGTCCCTTTACATTTTACGTCAGAAGTTTGGAATTGCACATGCCTCAATCTCCATAAAACAAAGTGAAACCGCGATGAGGAGCATCGTAAAAAGTTGCTTCAACTACAACTCCTCATAATTCCAATAACCAAAAAAAAAACACTTGGAAATTGGTTTTAGTTGTTCAATATTCGGAAATTATTAACAGCTTGGCTTTTCATTCGAAACTGGACACGCGAATGAATCGGGGAATCGACCGCAAAAAATTTATCCCAAGGGATTGTTTCATCCCTTTGCACTCCGTCGTTCTCTTCAAAGTTTAAAATTGAACCCTCGTTCTAACAGAATTTTTTAGAAGCCTCGTAAAACAAAATGCAACCATAACGAAAAACATCGTAAAAAAACAGCTAATAACTGCAACAATTTTTCATTACAGCAGTAAAAAAATTTAATCATCGGTATCTCAAGAGTGTAGGGATATCTTCGAGTATTTTTATTAAAGGACAAATTCCCAGGTTTTCATGACCTATTAATACCGTCAACTCATTAATTTCTGAGTTAAAAAAAAATTATCTCGATTTCGTTGTAGCGACGAAAAAATTCTGGAGGCTGCGATGATCTGCCAATGATTTTGCCTCATAAAATAAAAATTACCTTGAGCCTGAGCTGTGGGATCAATGCAAAACTTCATGCATTCTCTGAACTTTGACATTTTAATTTGCAGAATAAACTGCAATACTGGATTTTTCCAGGAAGGAAAGTCAGGGTTAGGTCAGATGTCACGACATTGATCAATATGTAACAATGAGCAATTGACGTGATAAATTCGAGTAATCACGAAAAATTGGGTCAACAGAGATTTTTCATTCTCGTCCATAAACAGGTGGTTAAAATAATGATTAAATTAATCTAAAGCTCATTTGTTTTAATTCGTCTCAGAGGAAGGGCTGAGCTATTCCAATGTCCAGGCACTGATTGATCATTGAAAAATATTCTCAAATTTGTAAAAATCGTTTTGATATTTACCGGATGAAAACTCGGCTGCAGAGACAATAAATGTGACTATCGGGATCAGGATAATCTGTCCTGTTGGCGATGTAGACCTCCGCCATGGGCTCCCAAAAGTGATCACACATGATTGCTGAATTCGTTTGATAAATACAACTTGTTCAAATTGTTTAACAATTGAACAGGATTTATCACACGCCTGTCAAATTATCATGGTGATAATATTCAGGAGTAAAAACAGAGACCACCATTTGTCCTGACTGAGGAGAGCACCGCTCTGAATATTGTCGAGGTTGAATAACCCCGGCTCACTGCCTTCCCAGAATGCAACGTTTAAAAAAAAAATCACTGGAAATAACAACCCAGGAGATAAGTTATCGACGTCTGAGTATTGACTGAATTTTTTCACTGCAGAAAAATCCATTTTCTTGCGAAACTCCACTTTTTCGTAAATATCTCCGAATCCCAGGAACCCAGAAAAATTTTCCTAATAACCTCTTTTGTGCCTCTCAATTTCCCCCATAAAAAAGGTTCTATCAAAAATTTCATTATCTCCCAAAATTTCAGAGTTATCGCGGAAAAAAAAAATCAAGTCGCCCCTTTCCGCTGCCTTAGTATCACCATAATTAATAATAAAAAGTAATTATTGTATATTTATTAAGTTAACAAATGAAAAATGAAAAAATATTTCAACCCCAGAATTAATTTTTAAAAATGAATAAATTCAAATTTTCCCGCCGCGCGCAAACGCCGTGACCGATCGATATATTTCGAAATCGATTGTAAACTTCGACTGCTCCCCTCTCAATTCCTTGAAACCTCTCATTCGCTGTTTGTAGTTCGTGTATTCGTCATCCGTTCGGCGCGCACCCGCGCAACAGGTGATGCGCCGTGTAATTTTCCGTGTAATCCATTGAAATATCGTGATAAAATAAACAAAATAATCGAAAAGACAAGTGTCCTCGAGTGTGCGTGAAATATTTTCTCCATTTAACCGTATAAATACCTTCACCACCGCTAGAAATTCGTCATCACCAGTGGAGTTCAGTGACAAAGAGAAATGAACCGTGACGACTTCTTGTGCACTCGTACCAGTAATCATTTAATCATTTAAAAAATGTCAAAGTGATTGTGACCGTGATTTTCATTGTGCCAAGGAATACAACGACCCATCGACAAGAATAAACTTCACGAGTAATTCACAACAACATTGGACACATCCTTGGACGATAAAGGTAAACAATATTATGCAGATATAGAAATAATTTTGTATCGAATTGTTGAAATCACGTGGGATTTTCCACATTCTCAACAATTAATCATCTCGAGTGAAAGTACAAGTGGGATGACGAGTGTAAAAAATTCATTCAACTAATTACAACGTTTATTTGAATCTTCTGACACATGGTAGTTGGTATGAACGATATAAATCATGGTTTCATTGCCTCTCATAAACAGTAGTCGCTCTACAAAGATTTCTTCACTGAATACTCGGTGGAAGGGACTGTTGCCCCATGTAGTTTTAATCCCAGAATAAACTCAAATAAAGCTCGGGATGATTTCTTTTTTTAGGCCCTTTGAGATAGGAATACATGTTGCAACGCCATAATTGCATGCTTTTGTATATTCCGGGCTGCTTTGACGCCATGTTTCAATCGTTCATGCATTCACATACTGTGGAATGCATAAATATGGGATACACATGGTGGAGAAAACGTGTATGCACAGGTGATAAGAATCATTATCCCGTAATTGCTGTGAATAACACGCGTGAATAAAACATCGAGGGGTCTCATTTTTTCCTCCGACACTCGAGGGGAATTCAAGTTGATAAATTTTTAAATTAATTATCGTGATGATTGGAGTTGATGTTTCAAGTAGTCATTGAGAGTTTCAAGTACTTTTTGTACTTCCTGTCGTGGAGTTACAGTGAGATGAGATGTGAAGAAAATCGAGTTATCAAAAAAATTATTTTTTTCTTGCTGTTTTGCTGGGCCTCTTATCAATTTCTCGTAAATTTCAAACATAAAGACCAGATGGTTTTCATGTTTTCCTGACAATTTGGCTGGCATTTTCCTTCCGATTTCCCGGTCTGTCAATTACCCCGAAGGTCAGTGTCGAGGAGTGAAGGTCACGGTGACCTGTCAGAAGAACTCATAACTCAAAAAAATATGAATAAAAAAAGATCATAATGATCCGATTGAATTCGATTGAATGATTTTGAATTGTTCGAGCAGCTCGAATGATCCAGGGATCGTGGGAATTTCTCCCCAATTTCACTCACAAATGAAAGATCACAATCTAAAATTGAGAGAATCTTCAGACGAATATAAAGATGACGTTAGCTGGCCCTCGGGGTCCTTGGCATACCGACCAATTAAATCATACGATTGTATGATGTCAATTTGATGAAAGTGAACAGTTCTGTATGTACATACATGTGGAGTATTTCCATTTGGTACGGATTTCATTCGAATCGTCAAGTGGGCACGGCCACAACCACCACTTTAAAACCCGTTTTCACAGTTGTACTGTGTGTGGGTGCAGCATTGCAGAAATGGGAGGGAAAAAAAAAATTGTCTGGAATAAAAAGAAAAATGTCAAAATGCCCACGCCATTTACATATTTGGATTGTAACAGCGATTCGTTACCTGTTTCAAATTTTTAACCGACAAAACTCCATCTCATCTGCTAAATCCCAACGATTATTCAAATCAATCGTACAATTTTATCCTTCACCCATCTGCATTACTACCGTTTCATTAAAATAATATAATTATTGGATTGAGTGAGTAGAAATTTTTTTATGGAAGAAATTACAAACCTTTTCTGCGACATCCAGCTCATGTACATTTTTTTCTTGGTTGGTACAATCAAGTAGACTGATTGTACATGTCTGTAGAGTCAGAGTCGCGAAGGTACAAACGATTATTTCCAAGTACAATCGGCCTATCATTATTTTCGAGCTAGTACAAACCTT